ATGATGATGATGATGATGATGATGATGATGATGATGATGATGATGATGATGATATTTTTATTTAAATGTTCGAGACGAAGCCCCTAATGGGCGAAATGTTGAACGTATAATAAAATATTTTGGAAATCCTACCAAGTCTTGACCTTTTCTATCTTCTGTATACAATGATGATGATGATCATGATGATATGATAATGATAACAATATAAATGAAAATTTTGATATTGGGTGGGAAATCCCCAATCAAATTGACAAATGGCGTGGTCCCAAACAAAGGAAGAGAAACAAACTTAACAAACTGACCAATGGCATGGTCCAAAAGAAGAGAAGGCAAATTGACCAATGGCGTGGCCCCCCAAAAAAGGAAAAGAAACGGAACTCACCAATCAAATTGACCAATGGCGGGGCCCAAAAAAAAGGAAGCGAAACAGAACTCACCAATCAAATTGAGGTTCTCGTTGTAGCCAAAGGCATTGACTCCCTGTGAGACGTTGAACTCGTTTCTGAAAAGTCAAAGTCACACTTTGATAGATTGTTCCCTTAAACCCAAAATTATAGCAGTTAATGTGGTGTTCCTTGCAAATATCCACTCAGCGAATTGTAATCGAACAAGTTGAAAGGAAAAATAAATAGATACTTTCTGTTCGTGAAAACATGGCTGTGTGTTTATTGATCTATGTTTGTCTACGGTCTACTGTATCTATACAAATCTGACACCACCACAGTTCATACGCATGTTTCGGAGAATTTCAGTTTCATTTTGTACCAAAGAACTTGCTGTTGAACAGGAATTTACACTATACAAATGCTATCCATCTTTTTATCTACCAACTCTCATTTGAATTCAGTGAATTCAAAGCAATTAAGTTATATTTACATTAAGTTATATTAAGTTACATTAACAGAAAAATGGAGTTAAGAAAAGGTAGCACTAAGCTTGCCAAACAAAAGGAACAGACAGACACAGGATCAGCACAAAGCACTTACTTTCTTTGAATCCCTTTCTTCACTGTCTGTTTGCCTCTGTAAAGAAAAATTAAATGAATAAAAATAGGTGAGTAAAGTGCAGCTCCTAATTAATTAGGGCGCTCATCTTGTATTTAGCATCACTTCTACACGAAGTTTAAGACTGGAAATTCAGAGCAGTGTCGGTGCAGAGCTGGCGTTCAAACGAGGAACTATCTGCTGCAAGCCTGCCAAATGCTTGAGACGCTTAGAAGGAAAAACTGGCCCCTCCTAAAGCCCCATTTAGACGTACAGTTCGCTGATTGACAAACTGACAGTTTAACCGACGGACGCTCGATCTGGGTCATCGGTAAACTGACATTTAGTCGACGAGAGAAGTTCCGTTTTGACGTACAGTTTTTTATCCGTCCTTGGACTGTTGTAGCTATAGATCTAGGTCAAAAACGTCAACAATGGCTGAAGCAAGCTACCTGGATGATTTGGCAGCATTTTTTGTTCTCAAATCCAAAAAGAAATCTAGAAACAGGACCAGGGTGCCGGCCATCCTCTCGATATCCTTCAGTTTGTCGATCAGCGAACTGTACGTCTAAATGGGGCTTTAGGGAGAGAGAAACAAAACTGTATGTGGGCCTGGAGGACCTGCGGTGAACAGCAGTCTTCACACTAGAGAGACAGGATTGTCCATTTAAAGATGAACGAGAAGAAGAAGAAGATGAAGATCTTGTATTTCAAAGGTTCTAGGTGGGATCTTTTACTTGATCAAGATATCCTTCTTTAATTTAAAAGACAAAAAAACAAGAAAAAAACAACAAAAAACCAAGACTGTTTCGAGAAAATGTAACTTTACTTGGTTAAATTAGTGTTCTGAATTTCATACGGCTTTGGAGAGAGCTTTAGACAAATGTAATCTCTTAATTTGATCAAGATAACTTTCTTCTGTTTAAAAGTTTTACAGAAAACAAGACTGCTTGCGAAAAATGTAACCTTATTTGGTCAAATCAAAGTTTTGAATTTAATATGGTTTTAACAAATAAAGAAGAAAGCTTTATAAAAAATAATCACTGACTTGATCAAGATAATTTTCTATTTCAAAAGGTTTAAAAAATAACAAAAACCCCAAAAACATGACTGTTTTGGGAAAACTTATCCCTCAGTTGGTCATGTTCATGTTCTGAATCTAATATAGCTTTAATAAAGGATGAAGGAAGCTTTACAAAAATAATCTCTACATTGATCAAGACCATTTTCTTTTAATCTAAAGGGTTATTTTAAAAAACACCCCCCAAAAAAAAAAGATTGTTTGGGAAAACAAATCACTCTCTTTGTCTGGTTAACGTTCTGACTTTAATATGGTTTTAACAAAGGATGAAGAAAGCTTTACAAAAATAACCACTTGCTTGACAAAGATAATTTTCTTTAATTCAAAAGCTTTAAAAAAAACCCCACAAAAACCCCAAGACCGTTTGGGAAAACTTATGACTCACTTGGTCAAGTTAATGTTCTGGTGTTTCTCCATCCAGCCGATGACGACAGCGTTGCTTGTGGTGGTGGCGCACGAGATGAAACATTCCAGATACTGGGAGTAGATTACTGGGGACCAGATACATATAGAGTTGTTGTTGTAGTTGTGGTGGTGGTGGTGGTGGTGTTGTTGTTGTGGTGGTGGTGGTAGTGTTGTTGTTGTGGTGGTGGTGGTGTTGTTGTTGTGGTGGTGGTGGTAGTGTTGTTGTTGTGGTGGTGGTAGTGTTGTTGTTGTGGTGGTGGTGGTAGTGTTGTTGTTGTGGTGGTGG